CTGTTAGGAACATAAGGAACAATCAGATCTCTGATATCAGATGGAGCTTGGCCATTTAAGGCTTTATATGTGAGAAGGAGGATTTTATTGTTTCAAAGGTCAAACATGATCACACACTGTCACTGCTACGTTTAAATCCTCCGTCCTTCTCTCCTAACAGCAGCTGTCTGGGCTGTGGTACCACAACAGAACCAACCATCCGGATGTGTTTGCCAGCCAAACCCGGCAGCTCAAGACCCTGGTCCAGTGTGAGCTCTGCTTCAAGTTCTTTCCTGATGCAGCCAGTCTGTCCACACACCAGGCTGCGGAGCACCCAGGTGAGGAGCGCCTCCCTGCTCAGGAGCGTTCAGGAAGGCTCTCCCTGCGGTGCAGAACGTGGGAACCTTTGTGTCACAGTGCCGTTCTCTGAGCGTCCCGGTTTACGGTCAGCATGGAGGATCAGCGTTTGAATGTTTGGGCCAGGGACATGCCTCCCATCCGCTCTGCACAATAAAACAATCATATAATACTTCACATTATTACTGAGGACAAGCAGAAGCATGTTTTTTAGACGGGATCTGATTATATTTGTTCTCGTACTCGACCGGCAGTCTTCACTGACACTGTGTCTGTCTTCAGCCTCAGAGGCGCCGGCCGTCTGCGCTCCGGACAGCAGGGCCGAGCTGGGCGGCGGAGATGAAGCCGGGAAGCACGTCTGCAGCCAGCCAATCAGCTGCTCCCTCTGCTCTCTGGTCTGCGCCTCCCAGCGGGAGCTAAAGGAACATCTGCTGTCCAGCCATGTGGAGCAGGAGGCGCAGGGACAAACCTTCACCACCTACACGGTAACGCCGTCCGTCACCAGAGCAACGCTGAACCCGACAGCTGTCCTGTACCAACCCAGCTGTTCTGTCCCAGCAGGTGATTTCAGCAGGAGACAAAGAGGATGGAGGAGCGGCTGAGGAGCAGAGCCCCCTGGTGGCCGGACAGCATGTGCTTGTAGCTCTCAGCGGAGGAGAGGGCAGCTCATCGGGGGAGGTGGTGGAGGTGAACATCGACAAGCTGCTCGGTAACTCGGTCACCTTCATATGCAGCGATAAAGAGCCGCTTCTGAAAACCTAACGAAAGGATTCGCTTCATGACGCCGACTGTCAATCAATCCTGGCGGCTCATTGGTCGGCTACTGACCAATCAGGGAACACTGTCAGCGGCAAATAAACATTTCGTTACAGTGTGGAAAAAAACAAAACTGGAGAGAAAATGGTAACTATGGAAACGATCTGATGAGCGGTGAGACCGACCACCTGTGGGTCGCTGCCCCTAAATGTCCCGTTCTTTCTGATAACTGCATGTTTTTTTTTTTTTCTTGCCTCAACGCGCAGCATCTGGAGCCAGACGCTCGTCTGCAGCAGCCTTCTGCACAAAAACAGGTTTTAACCTCAACGAGGACGGAAACTCTGACTTCTTCTAGCCCAGGGGTCGGCAACCTGCAGCGCTTTAGCCTCCCCTTGTGGCTCCCTGGAGCTTTTTCAAAAATTTTATGAAAATCGATTTTTTTTTTTTTGTTTTAATATGGTGTGCAGGTTGCAAACAAAAATTAATGAATGTTTTCCAATGCTGTAAACATTTGTTTAATAAATAAATTTAAACAATAATTGGCGTCATAGCCATAGAGATCAGTGGTCATAACTTGGAACCGGCGCGGTGCCAGGCTAACGCAGCTGCAGGTGTGTCTCAGAATATGAATCCCAAAGGAAAAAAAGGAAAATAGTTGATAAGAAATGAGGATTCAAATAGACCGAATCCTTCGCTTTCATTATCTATGCTGAACGATTGCCTGCGTTTTTGCTTTGTAATGAGAGGTTGTCAAAAAATTAAAAGAAAAATTTGGAAAGGCTAAATCTGCAGCCCACCACCAAGCTGGGAGGGAGAGAAAAAGTATGATTGCAGAACTTCTGGATAAATTAGAGGAGAGCAAAGATAGATTTAAGAAGTGGATTCCATTTCCAAACTCCACTACTGCTGCTAGATTGGTTGCAAGGATGGAAAACCTTCCACAGATCCAACAGGTGGCGCTCTGATGCAGGTTTCTGAACTTTCTTCCATTTTTTCCCCAAATCCTAAAGATATTTGCTCTGTTCGAAAACCAAGGACGCATCCTTAGAAGACCGGATTCGAAGGCCGATTACGTCATAGCGCGGCACCGAGGTCTGGTCGGATTCCAAGAGTCCTCGTTATGCAGCCTTAAAATGAATCCTTCTTTTTACCCGATTTGAAGGACGGGTCCGATGTATCCTCGGTATTCTTGGATATCCCAGGATTCATTGCGAGACCAAGCAAGCTGTGATCAGAGGAAAGGTTACTTGGCGCCGACCCCCGGTGACGATTGGTACCCTTTGGACAAAACTTCCTAATCATTTAATAGTTCCGTCTGAAATGAA